TAGACGTTCAAAAGGAGTACTATTATGAAGGATAGATGATGAAATACGATTTATGGTATAGACAACAATAAGATCAGCTTTCACCTATAACCTATTAAGACAAGAGGCAGACAAAAGAGACACATGGGCAGTATCTAGAATGTGACGATGTTTGCACTCAGCGTGACTATTTTGTTGAGATGTGTATGAACAAGAACGTTGAATAAATGTACCTTAAACAGAAAGAAAAGTTAATAAGGTATAGAATCTTTATACTTAAGATGATTATCAGTACGGAGGTTCTGTATGGAACAGAAAAATTGAGTTATAATCATTTGAGCAAATTGAATGTATATTTAAGTTAAGGGTAAACTGTTTTTTTAGTCCCGTAACTGGACCCCCTTATTATTTTAATCCCGTAAGTGGAGTCTGTCGCAAACTAGTCCCATAAGTGAAAAATTTTCGTTGTTTTAGTCCTCCGGCGCCGGAGATACCCGCGTGGCTCGCCGGAGGTGACGTGTCCGCCAAGTGTCGCTGACCTAGCGAACACGTGGATTTTTTTTATTTTTTTTCATTTTTTCAAATTTTTTTTACAACTTATTTTTAATTTATTTAAATTTTATTTGTATTTTTTTTTATTTGGTACAATTAAAATAAAACTTAAAAAATTTAAAAAAATGAAAAAAAGTAAAATAAATCCACGTGTCCGCCAGGTGTCGCTGACCTGGCGGGACAACTGGCGGACACCTCACCTCCGGCGAGCCATGCGGGCGTCTCCAGCGCTGGAGGACTAAAACAGCGAAAATTTTTCATTTATGGGACTAGTTTGCAACAGGCTCTACTTACAAGACTAAAATGATAAAGGAGTCCAGTTACGAGACTAAAAAAACAGTTTATCCTTAAATTAATTCTGAGCAGTGTTTCAAAAAAATATATTCATGTAAAATGGGAGTATTAATCTATAAAAATGACATAATAACAACATCCACTCAAAGAGGAAATAAGGGAAAGACCGCAAATATCATAATGAACCATGAAAAACAGTTTACTTGTGACCGACATGTTTTCTAAAAACGAGTATAACCCAAATGACCCTTACTAACGAGATACTGAATTTTAAAGGAAGAGGCATAACCAAGAAGCATGTGCCATTGGAGACTAGGGGAAGGAAAGGTAGTAAGAAGGTTATGAGTAGTAGCATCGGAGAAAGTACGGAAAGGAATTTTCAAAGATTGTACCTTAAATAGTTAACCCACTTTTTGACATGTCCTAAGAATTTGACCTATACGTGGATCCTGAACCTGCACATCAGAAGAAGAAAAAGTAACAGTAAGTCCCTATTCAACTAGTTGGCCAACTGATATGAGATTTAAAGTCAATTGAGGAATGCAGTAAGTATCAAAAATTGATATAAATGGTAGAGACACAGATCCTGAATGAGTGATATCAATGCGACTTCCAATAGTACTTTGTATAGGCAGTGAAGAGGACACATAATGCGCATCTGTCAAGAGACGTGATGCGAGATAGTCACGATGTTCTAGACTGACTAAGTCATATTAGTAACAGGCGCAAAATAAAATAAATACAATGAACATACCAACCACACCACAACGTAGGGATGACCTGGTAGTGTAGGGGTTGGACGTGTGACTGTGAGGTCATGAGTTCAAACCCCCGATGCCTATATATATAGTTAAAATTAATTAATTTATTTATTAAAATATAATTGAATTTGAAATTTAAACTCAATTGCTATTGGAAACTATGGGTGTGGTTCTTTAGGGGGTTTTGGAAAAATTGGATGTGCGTTTGGTTTTTATTTTAATTTTAAGATATGTTTGAATTTATGTGTTTCTTTTGTGTGTTGGTTTGGTTTTGGTTTAGGGAGTTTTAATATGTATTGATTTGATGTATAATAAATATAATAATATGAATGTGTATTAAATTTTAATTTTTTAAATTAATAATGATACGATTTAATTATAAATTTATATTATATTAATATATATATTTATAAAATTTTATTTATTTATATTATAGAAAATTTTATTTCGTATGTATATATTATATATAATTTATTAAATTATAATTATTATAATTATCAAATAAATATTTACATAGGTTTGTGCACAGTCATGCCCGTGATACCAGTCTTTTTTGAATTTAAATAAGAATAATTAAAATATAACAAAAATAGAAAATGGAAAAAGCTACAAGAATGCGGCTGCGGCTGGCAGGGAGGGGACATCCCCATTCTCGCGCCCATTTACAAGTCAACAGTGCAAAAATAGTAATTTTTTCCAAAATTACGGCAAAGAAACAAATCCTTTCATTAGCCCGAGTTATGTTAGTTTCAGGCCCAAATGCTCACATTCCTGCTATTCCAATCAAATCTATGCATTTCCCAACGAATTTTAATCCTGCTTTTCATATGAGGGCATCGGACCGTCCGTCCATTTTCTCTAACCTTATTCAACCCCATGTAATACACACATACATATCATATACACACATACATATATATATACATTATATATATATTTATCATTTATATATCATATACATACATATTATGTATATATATCACTTTAGAAATGGGTTGGGGGGACTGATGGAAAATAGAGTCGACGATCTGATGCCTCAAATAAGACATTCGAACGCCCCACACACCATGCAACATAAAACACAAACTCACCAGGTGAATGGGAGAAAATAAGATCCCACAAACCTAATTAAAATTGATACCCAAATGGCACGTAGAATGGGAAGCATGCTAATTTGAGTTTATGAATGTCAATCATTCCGCATATCGGAGTGTCCCTCTTGTAACTTAATGTTGGAACTTATAAGAAATTAAACCCTAAGCTCAGGATATGTCGTGTTGAAATAATTGAGATAAGAAAAATAAAGCAAATAAGTCTAACCTGATTCCATCAGTGTTCTCATATTTGGATCTGCAAACAATTGAGGATTTTGTGTTCTTCAAGCATATGACGCAGCCCCTTCTGAGAAGACCGCTAGGGTTTCTGCCGTTACTCTCACGATGAGATATGAAAATTAATGGTTGTTGCGTCTAGACCTAGGATCACAACCCTATTTATATCCCTTATTATTAATTGGCCTCATCACCCAATTAATAAGTTACCGAGTTTCTACACATAGGAGGTCTGCACTTACTAAATACATTTAAGCCCAATAAATTTAAAAATCACTTAATTTAGACTTAATATGACTGATAGCCCAAATAATTACATTTAACCCACAATTGGATTTATAATCCAACATTTAATTGTTGCATGTCAAAGATTTGAGAGTTAGTTCAACGAGATGAGAAACCTTGTATTAATTAATTCCATTAATGTTTATGCTCCCAAGGATATATATATATTATGTGTCCTTGCAACCAACCACATGCTGGAGTTTCCATTCCTTTGTAGAGACCATGAGATTGATACATACCTTCGAGTCTGTTTCCGTTTCCAGCCAGACCGGCTGGGAGTAGTTGTCTCTCAATCGAAATTTTGAGACCACCAAGGATATTTATTATAAATGGCGAGCAACTGATCAACCAGCACATTGCCATTGTGGTCACGAATCGCCCTCCTACCCCAGCAGCACCACGATTGCCTTTCGATGCGCCAATTGAGAATCTGTAAATAATGTCTAAATTTCAAAATTATCTTGTTAAAAGAAAATTTAGTAGATGGATGTTTTGCGTCATTTCTTCCGGTCCACATGAATAACTAAAGGATCAGCATGGGTAGAATATTACCAACATGTAAAGTGTGAGATCGGGGGCACAAATGAATCCAGTAGACAATAAGTTGATGTATAGAATGTTGTGGAAATATCAGGAAATCAAGAATAGACAAACAAAAATAAAAGAACACAATAATTTGGTTACTCAGTTCGATCAGGGTGTTCTACATCTGGGAGCGCTGAATTTTACTATAGAATATGATGTATAGAGTAGTACATGTTAAAGTGAGAATACATGGATATTTATAGTTTAACCCTATGCCAATAATACCCAAATCATATATCTAAATCTAGAATATAATGTCTAAATCATATCCATAGATTTTAAGATATAATCAGGCTTCATATACCAACAATCTCCCACTTAAAGACTGATTTCATTTTCCACTTCAATATTTTATTTCATCGGCAATGAAAGCGCCAAGCCTCCTTCACTCATCGAGGCCAATTGAGGTTGAACACAATCTCGATTCATCTAATGTTTCCATCTTAGGATGTTTTGCAGGATTGCCCATAAATCGGCTCATACTCCCACTGCACGTATTTTCCATATCCTAAAGGTATCAAAAGCATCATATTCACGCTTAAGGAAATATATTCATACATCCTTTGTAGCGTAGAATGATACTCATGAGTCTAAGATCCATGACTCTATTGGACTGTTGACGCTCAAAATCAGCACATTGGATATCTTATCCGCTGCGTTTGCCGAACCTGATCCTTCTCCAGTGCCCTGCACTGTCGTTTCATATTCCATTTACAATTCCAACATACCACCTGACTTGCATCTTTTTTGTCATTGTTCTTTGGCCATGTTGTTACACTGAAATATACATGGTCATGTAACAGCATGGCCATGTATAATTATACACTGAAATATACATGGTCATGTAACAACATGGCCGTGTATAATTGTACATGGTCGTGTACTGTCCAGGTCAACTGCCACGTCACCTCCGTCATGTCCATGTCAGCAATTTCCATTAGTTTTTTAACGGTGGGACCAAAATTGATAATAATTGTTTATAATGAGACCAAAATTGATTGAAATTATTTATATTGGGACCAAAATTGATGAGTTTTTTACCAAAATTGATAAATTTTGGTTATATTGGGACCAAAATTGATTTTTTCCCAAAAATTAAATTTTGATACGATAAATAAAAATAAATATTTAATTTATTTATTTATTTTTTTTTAAAAACTTCTAAAATAATAAAACTCTACCCAAAATTTCGTTAAAGAAACACACTCTTACTTATAGCCCCGTTCTTCCAAGTTCTTTGCATATTCTTGTCTTCCTCCGCGAAAATTTTCCCGCCATGGCGGCAGCCGCAGCGATGGATGTAGACTCTAGCTATGGCGTACTCCAGAGGAAACAGGCAGTCTACAGATCCTCGGTAAAGTGATGCCCCGCCCTCAATCTCTTTCCGGCGGCTCCTCTCCTGATTCCAGCACTTGCGAGGCGGTTCCTTCTGTCCTTGAAACACACGGTTTCTTATTTGGGCGTTTCATTTTGCAGGATGAAGGGTTTCAGATACAGAAGGAGATGTACAGAGGGCAACAGTACAGCCAAATATACTTTGCGAGGCTTCACCTCTTGAGAACCCTACTTTACTCTCTTATCCCTTCTTTGAAGCCTGATTTGCCGAGTAAGTTTTTTCCTCGTCGTTCTTAGAGTGATGTATGGTTTGTAAAAATATGATTTTTTTTATTTTTTTTTATTTTTTTATTTTTTTGCTCTTATTTTGGTTGAATTTTCTCATGTTTCGCAGTTTCAGCTTTCTTCAACTTACTTTTGTTGCTTGCTAATGTTATTTCGCTATACCTGCAGTTTGCATCCTTTGTTGGGATTGTGTCTGTTCGTTCATTTGATTGACTGGTATATAATGTTGCTTTGCACAATAGAATCTATTTTTAATAGTCCTGCTATGAATTCTGATAGAACATTAGAGTATGCATAATGTGCTGCGGATTCTTTGTAAGAGCAAATACTAGGTTTATTCCCATAGTGTTATTCTTCATATAGATTAATTCTCAAATTCCTCATGGCCAACTTTCAATTAATGATTTTGGGATTGTTGTTTGAGTTTTTTTCTCCAAATTTTAAATTTTATTTTGATTTTCATTTTATTATAAAATATCTCAATTGTCCTTCAAAAACATCACATTTAGCACTCATTTTCCAAATATATATATATAAAAAAAAAACAAAAAACAAAAAACATAAACAAAAGAATCCACCCTTCCCCATAGATTATCACTTGTGTGTACTTTTTTTTGAATCTCTATTAGGGTAACTCTGTCGATGCCAAAGTAAAGTTCTCTTATTGTTTGGATATAATTTTCAATGAAACCTCTTATTTCGTTCTTGTTGTGGACTGTCTGCATGATTTTTCCAACGTAGGGGTTTTCTTCTATTTATATTCTTCTAGTTAAGAGATTTCTCTAGTTGATTAGATCTGGTTCTTTTGGTGTTAGTTGGGTGTTAGGTTACCTTTTTATGCAAAAGATTGAATAGCCAAGTGTATAAAGTAGTTCATACTAACTTGGTATGACTGGTGATGGAATTTGGAATTATGAATTATCCCAGTCGTTTATGAAAGAATGAACATTCTAACTTGCTGCCTCACTAGAAGTCGTGTTATTTTATCCAGTGTGTAAAGATATGGAGATGCTTTTAACTGCCATTTCGGATGTTCGTGTTAATTGGATATAGGTGACATTTGAATTCCATTTGTTAATTTGAAAGAATCCTTCCACTTTCTGCTACAGTTTGTACTGTGCTAGGATTGGAAGAAGGAAAGGAATGCATTGTTGTTGGAACCCTATATAAGCACATGAAGCTCAAACCTTCCATACTTGAGGAATACTCGAAGGAGGTACTGTTGTTTTTACTTAAAATCATTCTCCGTCTCTCCCTGCCTCTCTCTCTCTCTCTCTCTCTCTCTCTCTATACACACACGCGTGCACCTGCACATATACACAATCCACTCTACTAAAGATTGATGGACAGGGCATTTAATATTGCTCTTGTATCTACCCAACAAATCACATTTGATTTAAAATAACCAACCTGGAAACTCATTTGTGCTTGGTATGTTAAATTGTTATGTGCAGAGGTCAGCAAGCCCACTTGTCAGACCCCAGAATTTTATGCACTCAGACGATTATCTAGTTTTGGAAGACGAAAGTGGAAGAGTTAAACTATGTGGTGCTCATCTTTTGCCTTCTGTATATGTTACAGGTATGCAGTCTCATTGCTATTAGAAGTTTGAGAATATGCAGCTTATTAATCTTAAATTTTGTTTAACTTACTTTAGATTGTTATAATACTTAATTGAGATTTATTATGAGAAAACATCTCATCCGGGGATAGTTAATATATCTGATGTTGTATCAATCCAAATTAGCTCCAACATTGTTTGATGAATTTTTGAAGAGTTTTCATAAAACACTTTCTTACAACAATTCCGACAAAGTTGCGATTTAAATTATAATACCAGCACTGTAAAGCATGAATATTTGCTATTTTGATTCTCTTCTTGTATTGACCTTACATAATACACTTGTAGGTATAGTGGTTGCATTGCAAGGAAAAGAAAATGGGGCTGGAGATTTTATTGTTGATGATATTCTTGAAGCTGGCCTTCCTCAACAGATAGAGAAGCCACTTAATTCAGGTAGAAGCTGCAGTTTTATTATCTATACTTTTAGTGCTTTTGGCTGTGCTGCTAAATTGCTTTGAATTGTTTTTTAAGTAGTTTTGGTGAAGCGATGGAAGCTATTTCCATAAACGTAACCTAGGAGCCAAATAATGATTATATTGGGGGAAGCTTCAGCACACAACATGTCTTATTTATTTTTCAGATAAGCATGACGTGTATAGTTTCTTTAGGAGATATAGATTACGGAAGTACCTTTAATAAAGATTATATTTCACATTTTTCTGAAGCATGAAGTATGTTAGGTTTTGTTCACTCAAACAGACACGATTCCCGGTATAATATATATTCTATTTTCTTACAAAAAGTCAACATTCAACACAATATTTTTCCGTCCCGGCTATCATGCTGCTTTGCCATAGATACTGAAAATTAGAAATGGTATAATTAATAAATTATTAAGAATGTATCAGTGAAAATAATTATTGTATGATAAAATTAATTATGTATTAAGATTAAGATAAGTAATTAGTCTTAACTAAAATTAAAAAAATATAAATTAACAAATTTAAAATACAATCAGAGTGTATAATTCTTTTCCAAAAAAAAAATGACAAAATAAGTGGGACGGATGAAAATGAAAAGTTGGACATGGTACGTTGACGGACGGAGGGAGTATTTTTTTATACTATTGACACAATTTCATATACCTCAAATCAACAAATATATGTCAAACTAAAACATTAAACAAACACACTCTAAAGCTAATAACATTCAATTTGCATGTGTTCTAATACAGATATATTATTATTATTTTTACAAACTATTAAAATGCTAGAGCAACTCCTATGTTATAAGGAGCATTTGGTCAAGGCATGCTATACAAAAATCATGATCATTCAAAAATAGAAGGTCTCACCAATGCAGAGTATGATGGGTGTAAGGAATCTAAGTATAATAGAAGATTCACTTCTGAATACTGCAATTTTTGTAGGAGGCAATCTTATATTATGGAGAAGTAAGAAACACATTGTATTTTAGTGATCTGCTGATTATAGAGCCATGGAGGACTCAATCTGTGAGATGGTATTGATACAACAATTAATGAGAGAAATCGGCCACAAAATTGATCATCTGACAAGAATAAACTGTGATAACTAGGCTGCCCTACATTTTGCATCCAATCTAGTATTCCATAAACACACAGCGCTTGAAGTAAGTTGTCATCTTGTCTGCAACAAAATTCAAGAAGGATTCATCTCTGCGAAATATGTCAGATCCCAAGATCAACTTTGAGATGTTTTTACCAAGGCAGTAAATAGAGTACAATCAATCATATCGTAACAAGTTAAGCATGATAGATATATATGCTCTAACTTGAGGGGGATGGATGACCATATAATTAACATACATAGTATTAGATAGAGGCATAATATAAATAGAGTTATATTGTGATAGGATTATTATGGTTTTCTAGTTAGACTTTATTGCTTTGAATAGATTGGATGGACTCCTGATTGTACCTATAGATATGCAACCTCACTTGTGTTTATAAAAGAAATTTCTATGATATGCTATTCATTTGTAGGACGATTAATAGCAGCTCAAAGTTAAAAAAGCACCAATCTAATTCCTATAAACCTTACGTATGCCCATTCTGATACTAGTAGGATTAGTCCATCTTACCATGTTGACTTAAATGAAATGTAGAAATGTCAACATGATCCGAGTCTAGATTATGCGGGAAAATAAGAATTTACTACATGCAAGATGTATGGTTAAAAGATGTGTTATTGAATGCCCCTCTTACATCTTCATTAGGCTGCTACAAAAGATCCTCAAGATTTGGGTGATTAGGATTTAGGTCAAGTGAAGAGGTAACAACGGCTAGATTCTGAACAAAGCCTAGTGAGGGCAGAGCAGGAAGTAAGGTCCATGTGTTGCTAACTACCACACCATATACAATCATGCATATGTAATAAGAAATTACTGAGTTTGCATGGATTGCTCTGTTTCTGTGACGTGCAAGACTAGTTCATACCATACTAATGCATAGTCTAATAGTTTCGTCGATTGTCGTAGTTACTTAAGTTTTTCTGTTCTAAAATTTGAGTTCAAATTTCCCGTTGAATTACTCACCCTTGTTGGTCTCAGACTAACATCCATGCTTCCTTTGTTCCTGCTTAGGTTGCCAAGAAACTGGTATTTCTCTCTGAGGAATATTTCTCATACTTCCCCTAGGATTCATTCTTCTTTGATGGTGTCGGTGTTGGGAGTACCTTGCTTATGTAATCTATTGATTTAACTCTGTAAAAATTTTAAAAGAAACTTCCGAGATATTTGATAATGAAATTAAGGTCTATTTATAGACCTTATACAAAATAATAACAATCAAATTTAATAACATACCTAGATAATAACAACCTAATATAATAGATGTGATTATATAATAACTAACAAATCTAAATAACATCAGCTAAAATATTAATCCAAAATATATTTCAACATCCCACCCCAAACTCAAATTGGTGATGTAGAAGCCAACTCGAGTTTGGCGGAAGAAATAAGAGGTGGCTGAATATAAACGGACTTCATATCTGAACATTGGCGTTCAAATCAATTCTCTGTTGTGGTGGGAATGTTGAACCCTAAGAAATTAGGATTTTCGCCAAATTAAGGTTCATAATAGCATCAATCTTCTATCACGGGCACGCCCCGGCGATCGTTTGTCAAGCGGCGGAAACTTTAATTAATAAAAGTTTTGGCCAAAATAGAATTTTTAATGGACACGATCTTCTGTCACGGCTGCGGCGGCAACTATACTTTGTTGCTGCGGCAGCATAAACTATACTTTGTTGCTGTGGCGGCATCAAAGTAGGATTTTTTATGACGGCGATCCTCTATCATGGCGGCACTGGCGATTCCCTGTCACTGCAGCGTCATTAAACCTTTAGAAATTAAATCTTAATAGGCAGAGATTTCGGACAGGTAATTAAATACTAAGCCAAAAGCTTTAATCAAAACTGAAAGCTTAATAGATAGACTAAAAATATCTCATTATATTATTGCCGAAAAATTCTTGTATTTGGACACCAAATGCACTTGCACGCACGGCCAAAGTCGTACACAAAATTGTTGACCGGCGTTGACCAACAACATTGACCAAATGTTGACCGACAATTCTCACTCATATGCACTGTTTATGATGATGATATTTGGTGGCAAGTATTTTCAAATTAGGAATACATGATTGTGGGAATGGATCTCAAATTTGAAAAAAAGTCTAGGTACATCACGGAATGTACCCGGAGAAAATGTGAATTAGTAGATTATGTTCATTTCAGGATAAAAGTTGTACCATGTAAAAATTCTAAGAGAAATTTATGAGATATGTTAGATAATGAAATTAAGGTCTATTTAGAGACCTTATAGGGATAAATCTAAATAATAACAATCAAATTTAATAACCACCTAATCTAGGTGATATAATTATATGATAACTAACAAATATAAATAATATCAGCTAAAATATCTATCCAAAATATATTTCAACAAACTCCAATTAGTCAGACCAGTCTGTGAGCAACTTCATTGTGGAATGGTGAAATCGTTTACATTGTTTGGCACAAGGTTTCCAATGACTTGACTGCCATTCTGAATCTGGGTTTCGTCCTCCTTCCAATAGAAAACACTAAGAGATATATGTAGTTAAGTTAGAAAATAATTCCCCTCGCCTCTTTGTTTCACTCACATGCACCTCTCTCAATAGAGAAATTTCCATGTGGGGAAGTTCCCCCAGAGATGAATACAGATAGAAAGAACTTGTGGAGGTGAGAAAGGCTGAATGTATGATGTGGTGGAAGGTGATTTTGTAGAAGTCGAATATGTTAGATAACAAATATGCTGCATTAATTAGCACATGCTTTTGTGAAAGCAAGTTTCTCTTAAGAAAATTAATTATTATTATTATTCGTGACAAACAAAAGTTCAGATCAAGGCAAAATCAAGCTGAAGAACTCAAACTATCTGCTCTGATATCATATAAAAAGCCTGATTGGATGAGTGTTTCCCAACTTTAAAGGAAGTTCATTTATCAGAAAATTACAGGTTCTTTTGAAGTTTGGTTTTGGGTTTGAGTTTTGATTTGAATAATGGTTTGGATACAATGTTTTGTGAGAGGAAATGGTATATTTTTTGGGCGAGAAGTTGCATAGTGAAAATACAATAACCAAACTCGAAAAGAACATAGCCTTAAGGTTCTCAATTTTAAAAGAGTAGAGATGATAAAGCCGAAATATGAAAGTGAACCCAATACCCTATACCAAGCAATACAAAAACCTAATCTTGGATCCAATATCATAAGTAAGGAAAATAAGAATGTCGATGGGCTTAATTCCTTACAAAATATAGGATTTACGAATCAATGGATAGTTCTAAAGATCAAATTGGAAATTCAATGTATAAGAAATCCTCACTCACATGATGAAAAGTAAACATAATGAAATACCCCTGTTTTCAAAACTAAGGATATTTTTATTTTCCCCTAAAATCAAAATGGTGTTGATAATAGCGGCTAGTATCCTCGTATAAGAAAAAGGGAGGGAGACCATGTGTTAAAAGTTAAAAATTCATGGAGGAACACTTTGTTGTTAGGTCACCTCAAAACTACAAAAGCTAAGCTTGAGTTTATGAAGAAATGAAAATAGATTTAAGGCCTCATGATTTAAGCAATGGCATCATGTGGAGCCGCAAAGTTATTGCAGATTACTGCTGAGAGAGTGGAGCTACTGCCATTGGGGATTTAAACTTGTATTAAAGTTAGGCATGGGCTGATTGGTCTCCATTTTTCATTATATACTAATTCTTCAACTCAAATTCTTGCATCAGGGCAGAAGCTTTTGAGTTCGAATGTGGGTTATGGGTTCTGCGGGTGGGAATGGCTCTGGGATTTGGATGTCTGCGTCAAGCTAATCTTAGCTCTGTTCTTGTAGTGACATAACCATTAGGTCTGGTGAACTTTCTTGCCACTTTTTCGAGCATCTGTGAACAGTGAAATTTCTGACTTTTGAAATAAAAGTAATCAACTTTGAATTAACACCAAATAATTATAGCAGCACTTTATCCCACTGCCTCCTAGAAACCATCTTTAGCTCTGTTCTGGCGATTACTCTGGCCATTGGGTCCAGTGAGTTTTCCAGTCACAGTTTCAGCCACTTGTGAACAGTGAAATCCATGATTTTTAAATCAAGATTAGTTAATTAAAAAAGAATTAACACCAAATAAATATTTGAGATATATAAGTAGCTCTCTGAGCTAACTTTTATCCTTGGTAGTAGCTCCTTTAGTTTCCATTTGCAGAGATTTCATACAAAGATATAATGCTTTCCAACAATTTTGGTTATTTATCACCCAGTCTCGTTTTAGCAAATTAAGTATTCTTTATTTGCAAACTATATTATCGGGATGCTTTTTTCAGTTTTTTATATGTAATTTACCTATATGGGGAACCATTTGGAACAGGTGATGATAAGTTTGTAGTTTTTGTATCGGGGTTGAGTGTTGGGGGACAATCTTCTAATCCTCTTCATTTTCAACTCTTCATTGACCATATAACTGGACATCTTGGAGATGAAAAGGTTCAAATTCATCTATCTGCTATAATTTTCTTTTGTTTGTTACTGTTGCGAGTTGGTGATGCTGTGTCTGATTAATCTTATACCAAAGTTTTACCCCTGCATCAGGAACAAGGCATTGCTGCTCAAATTGTTCAAGTTGTCCTAGCTGGGAACTCTGTTGAGTATCCTAGTGGACTTCTAAATGGCCAGGTATCTTTGATTATTATTATTATTATTATTATTATTATTATTATTATTATTACTTTTTATTTTTTATCTTTTCCCCTTTACTCAAGTGTTTTCCTACAAGCTCACTCATTTTATTGTGAATGCTTTGAAATTTATATCTTGTAAATCTTGAAGATTTTGGCAGGACATTGTCAATGCATTTCTTTTTGTTAGAAGATTATTCTGCATGGACAAATGTATCTTTCATTTTATCAAATTGAATTTAAATTTCAACTTAGTCTTATATGACACTTCATAGCTTCATTTACAATTGGAAAGTGGAAATAATTGGATTTTCTGTTTTCTGTTGTGGTAACAATAAGTTTTATTTCTGGAGGGGTGATTTTCAGTTTATTGATTAGATTGATGCAACAAATAAATCTTGGATTACAATTCCAACCCAAATCCAATTTCAGGAGGGACATGACTTTGCTATTTCATTTGAATGGCAAATAGAAGGCAAACATAACAAAGTTTTGAGACCTATTAGCAATGCAGAAGTGTTTGAAATCAGATTGTACATGATACAAACTTTTCCCCCCCTATTTTAATTAGTTCTCATCTTTGTTTTAGCATCTCTTGGGAGTTTTGCAGTTAGTATTTCTTGAAGAAATGAAATGTACCATCTCAGTGGAGCTTCAGGCCCCCAATTATATTTCAAGTTTAACCTTTTTCACATCTGTCAAACACTTTATTATAGCAGAACTTAAGTTCAAAGGATCAGTTAAGACTTTCAGAGCCAATAAAAGAGCTTGATATTCTTTTGACTCAGGTATTTTTAGAATGCTTGCTGAAATAAAGTTTCCATAGAAACTTCAAGTTTTATAACTAAAGCAAAAATGTGCAGATTGCTGCAGGTCTGCCTTTGGATATAATGCCAGGATCAAATGACCCTGCAAATTTTGCCTTGCCACAACAGGTTTATGTTACATTTATTACATTTTGGTGGGTGGACTTTATATTGACCACCATATTGTTTCTATTTAATTGAAGTATTTTCTTTGTTAGCCTCTGCATAGATGCCTTTTTCCAGGATCTTCATTGTATAACACTTTCAGATCGTGCACCAACCCTCATTCCTTTGAGATAGACAATGTGAAGTAAGATTTATATATAGTTTGTGCCTTTTATCTTGTTTAATTGGATTGATAGTTAGATATGTCTTTGTGCTTCATCAGGTTTATCGGGACATCCGGTCAGAACATTGACGATCTTGCTAAATATTCTGATGCAAAAAGTACAACTGAATTCATGGAAAGGACCTTGAGATGGCGGCACCTGGCACCAACTGCCCCAAATACTCTAGGTTAGAACGGTTATTTCTTGTACGTTTAACATTTGCCTTATTCCTTAATTGGGAAACTTATTGTTATTTTAATCTTTTCATACACTTGCAGTCAAATTTGATGAGGAGAAGAAGTTTTATTACTTAATTGATGTGAATTGGATTCAAACTAATTCCTTTTAAATTGTGGGACAGTTAAAAACCATTTCTTGTTAAAATAAAATCGAAAGGGAGCGTTTCTATCTTTTTGGTTAATGATAATGAAATAAATGTAGCATAAGGTGCTGAGGCACCTTAAGTAAAGGTTCGTGAAGTGATACAGTTACTTTTTCAGAGGTCCAAGATCCTTGGTATTTTTGTCTGATTCTACATTGGCTTCACTCCCTTTGCAATTCTGCAGGTTGTTATCCATTCACTGATAGGGATCCATTTTTCATCGAGACATGCCCTCATGTCTATTTCGCTGGCAATCAAGACAAGTATGAGACTGACTTGATTAAGGGTAAGAATTTATTAGTAATTATCTAGATGTTTGTGTTTGGCTTTTTCTCACATAAGTGCAATTGGCTGTGCTGAACTGCAGGATCCGAGGGGCAGGTGGTGAGGTTTATCAGTATTCCAAGATTTGCTGAGACTGGAACTGCTGTAATGGTAAGTTAACCTGACAAGATGTCGAAGATATTTGCTTTTAAGTGGTGATGCTCTTCCTGAAGGGAAGAAATATGCCTCACTAAAGTGTTATTAATTTATCGAATGTTTATTAAGTACTTTCAAAATAGAAAAAATATCTGAATGTGTCGTTTGAAGAGATGGAGTGAGATTATAAACTGTGCTAGTAATTATATGACCTGAGTTCCAATTTGCATGACCTGTGGAAGAAATCTACTTGGGTTGTGTTTGGTTGAAGGTTGGAATTTTGGGGTGGGATTTGCATAGTAAAAAATTTGAATTGGAATAGTTATACAATATGATATAAATAAGTATTAATGTGATGTTTTGAATGTAAAATTGATTTTTAGTATATAATATAAAAAAAATTAAAATAGGTATTTAATTTGATATTTTTTAAGAGAAAACTTTGTGTGAATAGTGGAAGTCTTCCAAAATCCTTCAAACGAACACACCCATTATACTTGCTAATAAGAATGACTGAGTTAAGCTTTTTCTCTTTTATTTTACTCCCTCCGTCCGTATGTAAGGATTACATTTACTTTTGCATTATTGTACTTAACAAAAAATATCTTTATATTTGTATAATTTTTTATACAAATGTCATTATATTAATATTATAAGACATTAATAAAAATATTTTTGTCATTTTTCTTTGATTTGTACTATGTTTTAATATAGTAATTAATATACAAAGATCAATATACAAAAAGTAAATTATGACTCTCATAGTCGAACGGAGATAGTATTTTATTAAGTTTTATTGTCGCTCCCAAATCTTGAGAAAGTACTGGATGAGTTTCTTTTGTTTGTGTTTGTGCAGTTGAACTTGAGGAACCTAGAATGTCATGCTCTCAGTTTTCAAACTCAGATCGGTTCATAAATGAGAACAATGATGCTTTTGCGATCCTAGGACTGCAAGTAATTTGTTAGATGGACGGTCCAGATGTCATCTGGTTTCGGCAAACTTCAGTAATTTTCGGTGTTTCTGGGCGTCATTTATTATAGTTGTTCCTCTTATTGTATGATTAATGGGTGATGAGCATATCTGATCATGCTCATTTGTGCTGACTGAGTGTAGTCAATGTGTTTTGATATGTGATGTCTTGTGCTTTGCTTCAGGTTTGAACTTTCTTTGTAATGAAATGATGAACTGTCGGAGTAAATGTTGGCTTAAGAAGACTAGTGTTTAGTCGACAATTTGGTTTTCATGTTGACCGGATCAAATAAGTATAGCGTTTGATTTGATTCAATCAGATCAAATCAGTGAAGTAGATAGCACATAGCACATAGCATATGTTTTATAGTACATAATAATACAATATACAATATATTTTGACAATTGATATATTTTTATATAGTATAATGCTGATTTGATGTTACATTCGAGTTTATATTCGGTTTACATAAAACTTATTTATTGTTGGAGATAAATTTGGAAAGTGTATGTACTTTGAAAAAAAAAAAAAAGGAAAAACAAAGGAAAAGGATCGTAGGAAAAGGTTGATACAATCATAAGGAAAAGGATCATAGGAAAAGTACTAAATAAACACCTATCTACCATAGAATTGAAAGCAAAGGATTCTTGATAACTACCCAAAACAAACGAAATCAATACAAAACTAAAATGCTTTTATAATTATTAACATTGAAATATCAAATACAAATATTATTTATTTAATTATTATTTACGGGGAAGATTATGATGCTGATTTGAAAAAATCGGGACCGAGCAGCCCAAATCTTTATTAAAAATAGTACGTGTTGTTTGTAATAATGACATTTGTTGTTTGTTTATAATTATACGTGTGTTGTGCAAGTATATATCATGTGCTTAAATGAACTATTGTATGTGTGTGAGATTATATCATGTGTTGTGTTTGTATTATATAAATATAAATGATGCGTTGTCACTAACATTACCGTGTGTTTTTTGCTAGTTATCTATGTGATGTTAGTTCATGTGTTGTGTTTGTATTATATTAATATAAATGATATGTTTGTTGTCACTAACATTACCGTATGCTACTTGTTAGATCTCTGTGTGTATTGTTAACACAGTAGCCGCCATCAATATTTATATAGCCATTATTTATATTACTTAGGTGTGTCAGACTGTATATATATATTGATATGTAATATATATATGTATATATATAAATAATGATTTGTTATGTAATAATAATAATGTAATATATATATGTATATTATATAAATAATGATTTGTTATGTAATAATAATAATATAATATAAATATGAAGTGTATATATATATATATATGTACGAGTGTGTTTTTGTATATAAAATATATATATAAGTGAATAATTTTTTTGATTTGATTGGAGATGTAAAGATGATGGCAAGAAGATGTGAGTGGAGATGGAGAGCTTTTCTTATTATTATTTTTTTTTTATATCATATTATACAAACAAATGCACATATATATATAGCAATTCAGGCGGTGTAATTTGAGAATTAAATGCATCCACATTGTGACGACGTAGCCACTGCGTATTGGGTATGTAATTGCTACGTATATAACATTCTCCCTTGGATGCCTCTGTACAATGAATGTGCCTCGTTAAAACCTTACTATGAAAAGACCCTGTAGAAAAAAATCATAGTGAAGGAAAAAGAGTACATCATTCTTGTATTAATGCGTTCCCCCTGTTTTGGACTTTATTTGATGTCTTTCATCCGACGCATTCCAATTCCTTGCACCAGTTTGTTGAATGTTTCAGTCGGTAGCGCCTTCATAAATAAATCTGCAAAATTTTCAGACGATCGAATTTGTTGCATATTAATTTCACCACTTTTCTGAAGATCGTGAGTGAAAAAGAATTTTGGAGATATGTGTTTTGTCCGATCGTCTTTAATATATCCTTCTTTTAATTGAGTTATACAAGCTGCATTATCTTCGAATAATATTGTATGAGGTAATACATCATCAGAAATCAAGCCACAAATTTTCTGAATATGGCAAGTCATGGACCTCAACCAAACGCATTCACGACTGGCTTCGTGAATTGCTAAAATCTCAGCATGGTTTGAAGAAGTAGCTGTTATCGTCTGTTTAGCAGATCTCAAAGAGATTGCAGTTCCGCCACAAGTAAATAAATAGCCAGTTTGAGATTTTGCTTTGTGTGGATTAGACAGATAACCAATATCAGCATAACCAATTAATTCATTTTGAGATTCACTTGAGTAAAATAAACCGAGGTCATGAGTCCCCTGAAGGTAACGAAAAATGTGTTTGATACCATTCCAATGGCGCTTTGTGGGGGATGTGTTAAACCTGGCCAGTAGATTTACTAAAAAAGATATATCTGGCCTGGTACAATTTGCAAGGTACATTAATGCGCCAATAACGTTGAGATATGGTACATCGGGGTCAAGTATTTCTTCATTTTCTTCTCTTGGCCTAAATGGATCTTTGCTGGGATAAAGGGATCTGACCACCATTGGTGTACTCAGAGAGTGAGATTTATCTATATAAAATTGTTTTAATACCTTTTGGGTATATGTGGACTGATGAATAAATACCCCATTGTCCACATGATCCACTTGTAATCCCAGACAATATTTTGTCTTTCCAAAATCTTTGATCTCAAATTCTTTCTTTAGATATTCCATTGCAATTTGAATCTCTTAAGGAGTTCCAATTAAATTGAGATCATCAACATATATTGCAATAATGACAAAATTTGATCCATTTTTCTTTATAAAGACATATGGGCATATTGGATCATTAGTATAACCTTCTTTTATTAAGCAGTCACTGAGACGGTTATACCATATTCGCCCTGATTGTTTAAGTCCATACAATGACTTTTTCAATTTGATGGAATACGATTCCCTTGGGTTTAATTTGTATGCTTCAGGCATATTGAATCCCTCAGGAACTTTCATATAAATATTAGTATCCAAGAAGTCATAAAGATATGCAGTAACTACGTCTAAAAGACGCATATCGAGCTTTTATCGCACTGCTAAGCTCACAAGGTATCTTAAAGTTATTCCATCAAAAATTGGAGAGTATGTTTCATCAAAATCTACTCCAGGTCTTTGTGAGAATCCCTGAGCTACAAGACGGGCTTTATATCTCACAATTTTATTATGCTCATTTTTTTTTTCGTACAAACACCCATTTGTATCCAACTGGTTTTATACCATCCGGTGTTTGAATTATTAGTCCGAAGACCTCCCTTTTGTTTAATGAGTCAAGCTCTGATTGAATCGCATGTTCCCATTTTGGCAAGTCATTTCTTTGCCGACATTCATGAACTGATTTTGGCTCTGGATCCTCGTTTTCTTCCATTATATCAAGTGTTAAACTGTATGCAAAGGCATTATCAATAATTGCCTCTTTACGATTCCAACATTTTCTTGAAGTAACATAGTTAATTAAGTTTTCAATAATCTCATCATGTTCTTCAAGATCATGCTCTTATGGAGCAATTATTTCAGGGTTAACTTCCTCGTTAGATTGAGGTTTATCAATGTCATTCATGATATTTTCATGATTATCATAATTAATTCCTCTTTTCTTTCGAGGATGTTTGTCTTTGGAACCGAGTGGTCTACCACGCTTTAAGCGTGTCACTGATTCATTAGCACTTGCAATTTGTCCATCAGGGACAATTATTTTAGTTGGAGCATTAGCAGGTTGGATATATGATCGAGTGACTTTGCTTGAGTCATTGAATGCATCCGGTAACTGATGTGCAATATTTTGCAAATGTATAATACGTTGAACTTCTAGTTCACACTGCTTTGTACGAGGATCACAAAAATTCAATGGGATTTTCCAATTAATATCCCTTTTCAGTTCATCTCTGTCTTCCCCTGATGCCGGAAAATATGATTCATCAAAATGACAATTTGCAAATCTTGCAGTGAATAAATCACCCGTCATGGGTTCAAGATATTTTATAATTGACTGCGATTCATATCCGACATAAATTCCCAATCTACGTTGAGGACCCATTTTTGTACGTTTGAGGGGTGGAATAGGAACATAAATAGCACACCAAAAAATACGTAGATGAGATATATTTGTTTCGTGACCAAATACTAACTGCATTGGGGAATATCTATGATAGCTTGTCGGCTTCATTCTTATAAGTGTTCCTGCATGTAAGATTGCATGCCCCCAAACTGAAATGGACAACATAGACCTCATCAGTAATGGTCTAGAAATCAATTGCAATCTTTTCATAAGTGATTTGGCCAGATCATTTTATGTATGAACATGAGCAACCGGGTGCTCTACATTAATTCCAATCGACATGCAATAATCATCAAATGCATTCGATGTATATTCACCAGCATTATCCAGACGTATAGTCTTAATTGGATTATTGGGGAATTGTGTCTGTTTAATAATTTGGGCAAGCAATCTCACAAATGCCATATTGTGAGTAGATAATAAACAGACATGTGACCATCTCGTAGATGCATCAATAAGCACCATAAAATATTTAAATGGCCCATATGGTGGGTCTATTGGTCCACATATATCCCCGTGTATTCTTTCCAAAAATATAGGCGATTCAACACCTACTTTAGCTGGCGATGGTCTGGCTATCAATTTTCCTTGAGTGCAGGCAACACAGGTTAACTCATTTGAGTTTAACACTTTTTGACCTTTTAATGAATGGCCATACGAATTCTCAATTATTCGTCTCATCATTATACTGTCAGGATGCCCAAGGCGATCATGCCATATTTGAAAATCGGTAGTCTTTTGATCTACCATGAGGTGTGTTTCAACAATACCTAATCTGGCATAGTATAAGCCAGTAGAGAGTGACGGTAATTTCTCAATGATGTATTTCTTTTTATCAATGATATTGGTGATCAATAAAAATTCACCATCGGTATCACTCATATTTCAATGTGATAACCATTTTCCTGAATGTCATGAAAGCTCAGTAAATTTCTTTGAGCTTTAGTGGCCAACAGTGCATACTGTATCACAATTTTCGTCCCCGCGGGGAGAAATATAATGGTTTCTCCAGAGCCTTCAATTAATTTTGCACTGCCACTTATTGTATTGACATTCATTCTTTCCCTTTTCAAATGGGAGAAATATTTTTCGTGTTTCAATATAGTATGTGTCGTTGCACTATCAATAAAACACATATTTGCATGATTTTGATTGGCATCCATTTAACCTTCAAATATAAATAAACGCAATATTAATAAGGCATATATAAGCATTACAAAATACATTACAAAAAGGTAATATGCAATAATTTAAATATTACAAAATATAAAATGACACAATATGTCTATCACTGGGGGTTTGTTGGATCTACGACAAAATTT